AGAGAGGAGCAGGAGAGCATAAAAAAGAAAAGTTAAATAACATAATCGTATATATGTATATTAAGATGCACAATATTACCTCGTTCTTATAACTAAGAAATCTGTGCTGGGAATCTTGTGTTCGTAAATTGGAGCTCTGTACATGTTGTTCTCGATCGCCTGGATACTTTGACCAGGAGTGAGGATGCCCAGAAACGGACTAGTGTGAGCGTACGCCGTTTCCCCGTATTTATATGTCTGTGGACCCTCGAGAACTCGACGAGCACCAGCTCACCGTCCCGCCCGGTCAAATCTTCGGGTGTTCTCATAAAGAACACGTCACCACCACCTGAAGCGATTCTCTCTTGTTCTCGTTGCTTAGCCTTCTTCTTGATGTGTTTTAGTAAAGGCAGGACGCCGTGCGGTCCTGGATGAGCCAACGGACCATGGCTGAACCTTCGCAACGGCGGCCTATGAAAATTTCTCAATCGCATTGGACCCATATGCGTTTGTACAAAAGGAACACGTAACTCCACCACTGGAGTACTATGCTGTATTAAATTGCCACCACCGACTTTCAGCCTCAATGTAGTTTCCGACGATTTGGGCATGTAATACGTGTCGTTTGATATGTTAAACGGATCCCTGTCGGGTGATTTGGGCGGTGGCGGAGGCGTATCTTCTTCGAGGACGTTGATGACGCCTGCCTTGCCCAGTAGTAATTTGCTCTTTTTCACGTGCGGGTGCGGAATTTTTACCTTCGGCTGCGGACCATTATCCTTGTGAAGGAGAGCGGGATCGATATCATCCGGTATGCCCAAAACTATGTTCTCGTCGTTCGGATCTAATGTAAGTATTTTCGGTTTCGGAATCTTCCTCATTTTCTCCGGATCCCAGATGACTTCTTCTTCCCACAAACCGTAAACTAGCTCCTCGTTTTCTACCGGAAATATCGAGTACCAGGTATCGTCGTAATTTTCCTCCCGTTGTTGTTGCTGATTTCCCTTGCCCATATTCATTTTATTCTTCTGAGACTGCATATGCAACGGCGTTGCAATTTGCGAAGTAGCTAATCTGACATTAGGTGTCACTGTAACCGGAGCTCCTTTCCCCGGTTGACTGAAGGCTTGCGCGGTTCTATTGCCGCTCGAGGGTACCCATCCGGCTGCATTATTCTTACTGTTCAACTTTTGCATTACCTGTGAGATAAGAAACAAATATCGTTTCTGTCATTTGCATTATTGCACATGTAATAATAATTGCTCCATTATTAAAATTACCTTATGCTTTATATCGTCTCCATTCCACACAACATCATCCTCCCAGTGTAACTGTGACACCATCAAAAACGCGTCATCGGCAGACTCTTCAATCTCTGATTTATCGTTTCCTTGTTCTTCCACCTGATGAAAGTTCAATATTAAGAAACACATAGACTAATTTTAATATCAATCAACGTTAAATGCGATAAAATAATCACACACTTTATCCGTCATTTGAAAACCATAATTGAATCCATCTCCAGTTTCTGGAACTTCCAGCATGTCATACCACAACTGTGCAGGTCCAAATCTCCAATCTGCCACCTTGGGCCCCATATCGCCATTCTCTCCAGTTTCACCCGTCTTACCAGTGTGCTCCTTGTCTTCTACTGGTAGCAAAAGCTTGTTTTCATCATCAGAGCGACACGTTTCCGCGCTAGGTTCGGGACCATATTGCATTATCCAACCCTAAGCCAAACAATAAATTTGCACTTAATGGAAAATTAATTGTATTAAGAAAATTTTATTTTATACTTTATAGAAATTTACAATTGAATATTTCATAGATGCATATAGGTATGTCTTAAAACTACCTTAAATTTAGGCCTTTTATCATCCTGATCAGACCCAGAATCAGAATCTTTGATATCATGATGTTTTTTCTTCTTACGTCGCTTCCTCACACCTCTCCATATTTGTGGCAGACTGCTCGGTTTGCCTGGGCCAAATAACCTCGAGAATCTCAGGACCTTATTGGCGCGAAAATCCGGAAATAATTCGGTGACGTCAATATTGGCATATTTGGAAGGTAACATAGAAGCTAAAGGCGTCTCTAATTTACGTTGACGCGCCGCCTCTGCTTCCTCCGCAGTTAACACTTCTTTTTCTTCAGGTATTGGCGGAGGTGGCATCAATTGCATATCTGACTTGTTAACAACCTCCTCGTCATCAGCATCATAATCCACATTCTCCTTGTCTAATCTCTTGTCAAGTGCATTATTTTTCACTAAAAACAAATTGTAATATTATATTTATCACATACATTTCTTTAAATTAATTATATTTGTCAATTAAGAAATAATATATATTAATATTATATTCATATATGTATAAGAGTTTAATATAAACAAATATCCATTATATACATAATTGTATAAATTATAAGCACGAGTACTAACAAGTATCATCATTTATATCATCTGCTAATTCATTTATATCAGAGAAATCAAGCGCAGTAGGTGATTTTGCGAAATAATCCACATCTGTATCATTTGCAGTCGTGTTTTGATTCCCCGTCTTATCAGCCACTTTGTTGTTCTCTTTTTCCTCAGTGGTACAGTCAGTAGACATCATCTCATTGATGAATGAGCTTAGACCGAGGCGGCTGAGCGAAGCTAAATGTTGTTTTGCTTCGGGATCTAAGATATCATCCTCCAATTGACCATTATCATCAATGTTACCAAAGAGGAAGCCAGTGATGTTGAGGCCAGATTCCAAGTCTTTTTCGTTCTCCTCATCGGAGTCTCCCATCTTATTCTCACTGAGATTTAATAATTAATTCGATTTTTACAATGTAAACACCTCTATTACGTGCACCGTAATACTTCTTCTTCTTCTTTGGTTAAATGGCTCCGGGCCTGACTACACTGGCCCACTCGGCCAATGTGCACCGTAATAATATGTGGCGGATAACCACTACAAAAGCACGGGCACGCGAAAAACCAACGCGCTCCTTAAGCCCGTGTCACACTACGCATTGAAGATTGAGATTGAGGATTGAAATTTGACCAATCAAGACAAAGAAATTTTAGTCCCTTTTGTCCTGATTAGTCAAATTTCAATCTTTAATCTTCAATCTTCAATTTTCTACGCAATGAAGATTGAGATTGAAGATCGAAGATTGAAATTTAACCAATCAGGACAAAGAAATTTTAGTCCCTTTTGTCCTGATTAGTCAAATTTCAATCTTTAATCTTCAATCTTCAATTTTCAATGCGTAGTCTGATACGGGCATAACGCTATGCCTCAGGACTGCCCCGATTTAAAAAATATGCTGAGATTGTACCTGCCGTCAAATCGTCGTTTAAATTTGCTTTGCCAGATAATTTGTCTATTAGGGCCAATTTCAGGGCTAATTTTACCAAGCCCGGTTAGATTAACCGACGGTTAGAATTAGCAGGGTTCCAACTGAAATGATAAGAATGCTTGGTTTTCCTTCACCTCTATTTTCTGTTGGCCACCCTGCTAATTTTAACCGTCGATTAATCTAACCGGGCTTGGTGAAATTGGCCCTTCGTAATATATTATATATGTTACAGTAATATATATATTACTATAACGTAGATAATATATTACTAATAGATAATATATAGATAAGACAATATAATAGATAATATATTACTAATAGACAAATTAATATAGTGGAA